CTAGTGGTACGTCCGTTCCGGTCCTCTCGTACTAGGAACAGCTTTTCTCAACACTCCAACGCCCACAGCAGATAGGGACCGAACTGTCTCACGACGTTCTGAACCCAGCTCGCGTACCGCTTTAATTGGCGAACAGCCAAACCCTTGGAACCGACTCCAGCTCCAGGATGCGATGAGCCGACATCGAGGTGCCAAACCTCCCCGTCGATGTGATCTCTTGGGGGAGATTAGCCTGTTATCCCCGGAGTAACTTTTATCCGTTGAGCGACGACCCTTCCACACGGAATCGCCGGATCACTAAGTCCTGCTTTCGCACCTGCTCGACATGTGTGTCTCGCAGTCAAGCACCCTTTTACCTTTACGCTCTACATATGGTTTCCGACCATATTGAGGGTACCTTTGAACGCCTCCGTTACCTTTTAGGAGGCGACCGCCCCAGTCAAACTACCCACCACGCACTGTCTCCCTTTTGGATAACAAAAGTGGGTTAGAATCCCAATTAAACAAGGGTGGTATTTCAAGGGTGACTCCACGTTGACTAGCGTCAACGCTTCAAAGTCTCCCACCTATCCTACACATGTTTAACCAGAATCCAATACGAAGTTGTAGTAAAGCTTCACGGGGTCTTTTCGTCTTGCTGCGGGAAAACGGCGTTCTCACCGTTACCATAATTTCACCGAGTCCATTGTTGAGACAGTTGAGAGATCGTTACGCCTTTCGTGCAGGTCACCAATTAAGTGACAAGGAATTTCGCTACCTTAGAACCGTTATAGTTACAGCTGCCGTTCACCCGGGCTTCATATCAATGCTTCGTCGTATTTTAATTTTTGACTAACAAATCAACTTAACCTTCGGGCACTGGGCAGGCGTCACCCCCTATACATCGTCTTACGACTTAGCAGAGAGCTATGTTTTTGGTAAACAGTCGCCCCTCACATTTCCTGTGGCTCACCGAAGTGAGCGCCCCTTCTTGCGAACTTACGGGGTAATTTTGCAGAGTTCCTTAACAATGGTTATCTCGCTCGCCTTAGAATACTCATCTTGGGGACGTGTGTCCGTTCTCGGTACGGGCTCACACGCGATTAAAGTTAGAAGTTTTTCTTGGAAGTTTGGAATCGCTTAATTCGGTACTTGCCTAGACTTTCCCTATGCATCGTAACTCACGGTTACGCCGTGCGGATTTGCCTACACGACCCACTAATTACTTGCCCTAGAATCCGTTAACTAGTAAAGTTATCCTGCTTCGTCACTCCATCACTCGCGCGGAGGTACAAGAATATCAACTTGTTGTCCATCGACTACGCCTTTCGGCCTCGCCTTAGGTCCCGACTAACCCTGGGTGGACGAACCTGCCCCAGGAAACCTTCCCCAATAGGCGTCAAGGATTCTCACCTTGAATCGTTACTCATACCGGCATTCTCACTTCTAACCGCTCCATCAGTCCTCACGGTCTGACTTCAGCGCAGATTAGAACGCTCCCCTAACGTACCCGTAGGTACCCGTAGCTTCGGTATTGTGCTTAGTCCCGTTACATTTTGGGCACAAAATTTCTTGACTAGTGAGCAATTACGCACTCTTTAAATGATGGCTGCTTCTAAGCCAACATCCTAGTTGTTTGAGAAACTTCACCACCTTTTTCACTTAGCACAATTTAGGGACCTTAGCTGACGATCTGGGTTGTTTCCCTCGCGACTACGGGACTTATCTTCCATAGTCCGACTGCATGGCAATCCGTTACGGCATTCGGAGTTTGATTATGGTCAGTACCTCTAGGTGAGGCCATCCCACATTCAGTGCTCTACCTCCGTAACTTAACACCACACGCTAGCCCTCAAGCTATTTCGGGGAGAACCAGCTATATCGAGGTTCGATTGGAATTTCACCGCTAACCACAGGTCATCCAAGCACTTTTCAGCGTACTCTGGTTCGGTCCTCCACATGGAGTTACCCATGCTTCAACCTGCCCATGGTTAGATCACCTCGTTTCGGGTCTATGCCAACATACTAATCGCCCTATTCAGACTCGATTTCTCTACGGCTCCGCTTTTTACCACTTAACCTCGCATGCTAACATAACTCGCCGGTCCATCCTGCAAGATGTACGCCATCACACATTAACGTGCTCTGACTACTTGTAGGCTCTTTGGTTTCAGAATCTATTTCACTCCCCCTCCGGGGTTCTTTTCACCTTTCCCTCACGGTACTAGTTCGCTATCGGTGTCTAATGAGTATTTAGTCTTACCGGGTGGTCCCGGCTGGTTCAGACAAGGTTTCACGTGCCCCGCCCTACTCAGGGTACGACTAGGAGGTTGATAAATTTCGGTTACGGGGCTTTCACCCTCTCTGGCGGAGCTTTCCAACTCCTTCTCCTATCCATCAACTTTTTGACTCCGTGCTAGTCGCCCTACAACCCCGCCAAAATGACGGTTTGGACTATTCCGCTTTCGCTCGCCACTACTTACGGAATCACTTTTGTTTTCTCTTCCTCTAGCTACTAAGATGTTTCAATTCGCTAGGTATCGCTTTGTTCACCTATGGATTCAGTGAACAATTCTCAGAGATTAATCTGAGAGGGTTGCCCCATTCGGAAATTCCCGTTTCATAGCCTATGTCCGGCTCTACGAGACTTATCGCAGGTTATCACGTCCTTCATCGCCTATTAGACCCAAGGCATCCACCAAAAGCCCTTATTTAAATTTAAAGCCTATTGTTTAGTATTGCCGCGAGCCAAACTTTTACGCTCAGCTCTCGGCGAGATGATTTTATGTTTATCTTAGACGAAAAACTTTAGTTTTTGTGTTGTCTAAAGATTTACTTGCTATTCAGTTTTCAAAGAACTTTTTCTTGTTGAGAAAACTAACTTTAAATGAGCAAAGTTCGCTGTTTAGTGGCTTTCTTGAAGATGATTGAACCGCTAAACTAGAACTAAGATTAGTAATCTCGTTCTCCATTATACACGATTAAATCGGGGGTAAATTGAGAAAATTAGGTTTATTTTTTAGAAAATGACCTAATCTATCTCTACCTTAATCGCTAGCGGGGGTCACAGGCAATTTCAATCGTTAATCTCTGGTCTTAAAGTTGGTTTGGGAGTTAGTAACAAAAAAGAATCTCTCCGAGCGAGAGATCCTTTGGAATAGAACTTTCAAAACTGAATATAAACGTAGCCATGACACTCTAGTTAGATTTGTTTGTGAGATCAATTACTAACCAAAGATTTGTTGAATGTGTGTGATCTTGACGATCAAGATCGATTTGTACTCCGTAGAAAGGAGGTGATCCATCCCCACGTTCTCGTAGGGATACCTTGTTACGACTTCACCCCAGTCATCGGTCCTACCTTAGGCGGCGATCTCCGAAGTTAATCTACCGACTTTGGGTATTACCAACTCCCATGGTGTGACGGGCGGTGTGTACAAGACCCGAGAACGTATTCACCGTAGTATGTCTGACCTACGATTACTAGCGATTCCGACTTCATGAAGTCGAGTTGCAGACTTCAATCCGAACTGAGACAAGTTTTCCAGTTTTGCTCCACGTCACCGTATTGCTTCTCTTTGTACTTGCCATTGTAGCACGTGTGTCGCCCCACTCGTAAGAGGCATGATGACCTGACGTCGTCCTCGCCTTCCTCCGGGTTACCCCGGCGGTCTCCCTAGAGTGCTCAACTAAATGTTAGTAACTAAGGATGAGGGTTGCGCTCGTTACAGGACTTAACCTAACATCTCACGACACGAGCTGACGACAGCCATGCACCACCTGTCACTTGGTTAACCTCCGCTATATCTCTATAGCATTGCCAAGGATGTCAAGAGTGGGTAAGGTTCTTCGCGTAGCTTCGAATTAAACCACATGCTCCACCGCTTGTGCGGGTCCCCGTCAATTCCTTTAAGTTTCACTCTTGCGAGCATACTACTCAGGCGGCTCGTTTAACGTGTTAACTGCGCTAGTGACTCTGCCACCAACTAACGAGCATCGTTTACGGCGTGGACTACTAGGGTATCTAATCCTATTTGCTCCCCACGCTTTCGTCCCTCAGTGTCAGTGCATGACCAGTTAGTTGCCTTCGCCATTGGTGTTCTTCCATATATCTACGCATTCCACCGCTTCACATGGAGTTCCACTAACCTCTTCATGACTCTAGTATGCTAGTATCCAAAGCGGACTAAAGTTGAGCTTTAGGCTTTAACTCTAGACTTAACATACCACCTACGAACGCTTTACGCCCAATAAATCCGGATAACGCTTGCACCCTATGTATTACCGCGACTGCTGGCACATAGTTTGCCGGTGCTTTCTGGTGAGGTACCGTCAAACCGGAGGCATTTCCTCCCCCGGCTGTTCTTCCCTCACAACAGCAGTTTACAATCCTAAGACCTTCATCCTGCACGCTGTGTCGCTCCATCAAGCTTTCGCTCATTGTGGAAAATTCCCTGCTGCTGCCTTCCGTAGAAGTCTAGGCCGTATCTCAATCCTAGTGTGGCGGATCAGCTTCTCAACCCCGCTATACATCATCGGCTTGGTAGGCCTTTACCCTACCAACTACCTAATGTAGCGCACCCCCATCTCTAGGCGGAGCAAACGCTCCTTTGATTAAAGTCCCATGCGAGACAATAACATATTCGGTATTAGCCGGAGTTTCCTCCAGTTATCCCAATCCTAAAGGCAGGTTAGGTACGTGTTACTCACCCATTTGCCGCTAAGTACAAGTACTTCGCACGACATGCATGCATTAGGCACACAGCCAGCGTTCATCCTGAGCCAGGATCAAACTCTCGTTAAAAATTGACGATCATGGTGTTTATATCCAGTTTTCAAAGAACTAAAAAAGTGTTTAAGAACCGCTCGGACTCCTAAAAAATTAAAGAAGACCAACCTTGGTTTCCGCTCACGCGGAACTAACTAGATCCAATCGGTTCAAGTGAAATTATACAAGAAAAAATAAGTTTTAAAACCTTATTTACGCGGAAAAAATCGCTAATTTAGCCTTATTAAGCGCTTTAGATTTGAAAATAGTCGCGCGGATCGCGTAAATCGTACTTACCACGCGGAGCAAAGTTGTGCGAACCAGTCCCAGCTGGAATTTTGTGACCGACAATCACGTTCTCTTTCAGCCCTTCCAAATAGTCAACTTTGTTGGCTATCGCGGCGTGAACTAAAACGGATGGCGTTTCTTGGTAAGAAGCAGCGGCCAAGAACGATTCAGAGAGCAGCGGAATTTTTTTAGCTCCGTTAATGACCACCTCTCCGAAGGCTGGTTTTTTGCCTTGACTGATTAACTGAGCGTTAACTTGCCGGTAGGCGTGACTGTCAACTAGTGAACCAACAAAAAAGTCGGAATCACCTTGTTCGCTAATCAAGATTTTCATTAAGAACTGGCGCACGATAATTTCAATGTACTTATCAGCAATCGCGATCCCCTGCATGCGGTAAAGTTTTTGAATTTCCTTGAGAATGTAATTTTGAACCGCCTTAGTTCCGGCAATTTCCAGCAGTTCGTTCAAAATAATCGGTCCCTCAACTAGTTTTTGCCCCGGACGCACGACTTGTTTGCGTTTGACGCGAATCCGCCGGTTAGCGCTGGCAAATTGGTACTGGTAAGTTTGGGGAGTTTCTAGTTCGGTCGTCTCAACTTCGATCACAGTCACGCCCGAATCTTTTTCGTGGTTATGAATGCTAGTTACGATTCCGTGGGTTTTGGAAATAATCGCTTTATCTTCCCAAACATCCTTGGTGGTGTCAATTAACTGCATCAGACGCGAGAAGCCGCCGGTAATGTCTTGCACGCCGGCCACGCCGCCGGTGTGAAATGTTTGCATCGTTAGTTGAGTACCCGGTTCACCGATTGATTGGGCAGCAACGACTCCGACTGGTTCGCCGATCTCGACTACCCGGTTTGTTGCCAAGTCTTTTCCATAGCATTTTTGACAAACTCCGTTGCGAGTTTGGCAACCAAAAATCGAACGAATTTCCACTTCTTTGTGTTTCGCCTTAACAATCTCGTCAGCGACCTTGGCGTCAATTAGCTGCTGGGCGTCAATGATTAAGTTACCCTTAGCATCGTGAATCGGTTTGTTGGTAAAACGCCCAACTACGCGCTCAGCTAGAGAAACGATGACCGACTGGGTTTGCGTTTCAACTAGATCTTTGACCAGGGCGCCGATGTCAGATCCGCAATCAACTTCGCGAACGACGATGTTTTGAGCCACATCGACTAGACGCCGGGTTAAGTAACCGGAGTTAGACGTGTTAAGCGCGGTGTCGGTCAGACCTTTCCGAGCACCGTGGGTAGAGGAGTAGAATTCGTAGGCCGTTAGTCCCTCTAAGAAAGAAGATTTAACTGGCACTTCAATCGTGGAGCGAACCACAACTTGGTTTTTAACGTAACCCCGCCGCATCTTCTTACTGTTTGACATCAGACCCCTTAGTCCGGCAAACTGAACAAAGTTGGACATGTTTCCGCGGGCACCGGACTTCATAATCATGAAGATCGGGTTGGCCGGGTGCTGGTCCATGATGTTAGTTAGATCTTTTTGAATATCGTCTTTAATTTGGGACCATTTTTCAATTGCCAATTTGTACCGTTCATCGTTAGTGATCACGCCCTGGTTGTACATTTTCCAAAGCGAATTAACGTACTGATCGCCCTCTTTAATTTTGGCGCCCTTAATTGGCGATTGCATGATGTCCGAAGCTGACATTGTCACGCCCGAAACAGTTGAGTATTTAAACCCTAACTCTTTCAAGTTGTCCAAAATCTTAGCGACTCCGTTGGTGTAATCAAACCAAACTTTTTCAAGCAACTCAACTTTCTCGTCCAGTTCAAAAATGCGCTCAACGCCTTGGTTTTGCAAAGTGATCCGGCGGTTAATCTCTTCAAAACGTTGGCGTAAAATTAGCGACAAAGTCTGAGCGTGGACATGGTTAAGTTGGCGGGAATTGAAATCTTTCAACTCCGCGAAAAGCATGACAGTATCGTAGTAATTGCCGACGTGAACTTGTTTAATCACTTGGGCCAAATCTTCCTTACTGATCGCTGAAACGTACTTGTCAAACACGTAACGCACAATCTTGGCAATGTCTTTTTTAGCGAGCGGTGCTTGGGTCGGCAACTCGCGAATGTACTGACGTAAATCAGTGCCAAAGCGAACTACGTACGGGTTAGCACGCTGGTAGATGTCAAAAATGCTGTTGTCAAAAATAAAGTCAAAACTAGTTGGGAACGCTTGGTTAAAAATGAACTTACCAACCGAGGCAATTAAGTAGGACTTTTCATCGTAGTGGTTGAAAAGCGATTGCTTTTGTCCGGCCTCAAGCGGCAGAGCCACCCGGGCAGCCAAGTCAATGTGGCCCTGACCGTAAGCTTTGATCATCTCATCGTAAGAGCGGTAAAAATTACCCTCTCCGCGGGCGCCGGCTTTCTCCTGAGTTAAGTAGTAGAGTCCTAGCACCATGTCTTGGGAGGGGTTGATAATCGGTTCACCGTCTTTGGGACCGAGAATGTTTTTGTTAGCCAGCATCAACTCGCGCGCCTCGCGGACAGCTTCGGGTGCGATCGTCACGTGCACTGCCATCTGGTCGCCGTCAAAGTCAGCGTTAAAGGCCGTGGTTACCAGCGGGTGGAGCATGATCGCTTTTCCGCGGACTAAAACGGGTTCAAAAGCTTGGATGGAAAGACGGTGCAGTGTTGGTGCCCGGTTAAGCAGAACGACTTTACCTTTAATTGCTTGCTCAACAAAAGGTCAAATGCGGTTATCTTGCTCCTCGACTAGTTTTTTAGCGCCTTTAATCGAACTGGCCACCGAGTGGTTAACCAGCCGCTGGATAATTCATGGTTCAAAAAGTTTGGCAGCCATTTGACGCGGAATACCAACCTGGTGCATTTTTAATTCCGGTCCGACCACGATCACCGAACGACCCGAGTAATCCACCCGCTTACCGAGTAAGTTTTGGCGGAAACGACCTTTTTTGCCCGACAGAGAATCAGAAAGCGACTTCAGCGGACGGTTATCCTTAGACATGACCGGTGAAGGTTTTTTGCGACTGTTATCAATTAACGCATCGATTGCTTCTTGGAGCATGCGCAGTTCGTTTTGAATAATCAAAATCGGGGCGTCGTTTTCCTGCCATTTTTTCAGACGGTTGTTCCGAATGATAATCCGGCGGTACAAGTCGTTAATGTCAGAGGTCGAGTGGCGACCGCCGTCAATTTGAATCAGCGGACGTAGGTCAGCCGGAATAATCGGCAAGTTGTAAATGATCATTGACGTTAGATCTTGACCTGATTTATAGAATTTGTTAAGTACATCAAGACGTTTGTAAAGTTTGGAACGCTGCTGAACTAGTCCCGAGTACCAACTTTCGTTCTCCTTGATTTCGCGCGAAATGCGGGTGATTTGCGATTTAACGCGGCGAATCGAATTTTTAAGGTCGAAGTTTTTGAGTAGGTATTCAATCGCTTTAGCACCGGTGCTAATTTTGGCTTCGGAATACTCGTGAATAATTTCGTTGAGTTCGTAAAAGTCAACCCCGTAATCTTGACCGAGTTTAGAACTGGCGGTTTGCTCAAGGTCTTCAATCGAAGCGCTAATTTCGTCGTAAGCATCGCTGCCCGGCTCAAAGCGTTCGCGCAATTCCAGCAGTGCTTTGCGGTAAATTACCGCCGCCTGGTTAATTTCAATGATTTTGTTTTTCGGTAAAGCTTTCAGACCATCGGATTCAAGCACGATGTGGGAACGGAAGTAGATGATGTTTTCGATTTGACGGCGGGAG